GAGAAGCAAGCTATGTTTTCTCAGAAAGCCAGAAAACATCCATGAAGGAGCACTAGGCAAATTGTGTTTAACTCTCTTCATGGCCACCACAGCCTCACACTGGCTGGATCAAGCCCCATCCCCTTGCTGCCTTTGTAGGACTGAGTCACTTTAGCTGCATGTTTACCAGGTGTCCACCATCCCAGCCTCCTCCTGTGGCCTCAGGAGGCTGCAGCAGTGAAGGACAGCAGGCAGAAGCATGCCTCTTTCAAGGAAACCTGCCTCTCAAGTTTCTCCTGCAGGAGGCAAAGGAAACAAGAAGTGTGGATCATAGAGCACTAATAACACTTAAGATTTTTCACTTGACTGCCATTCCTCAGCTCCTTTCCTTTTCCACCTGCATTTCTCTGCACCTGTGGGGAAACCTGACATTACATATATAGATATATTGTTCTTATTTAAGACAAAAGATTCCCTCCCTCCATGAAGTGACCCTCAACAACAGAGACAAGGTTAACCTGCATCCAAGAGCCATCTGACTTGCAGCCCACTGGAAACTCTCTCTCCTCTGTGCCGCTCCCACGGCCATGGTCCCTGCAGCTGCCATATATGAGGCCTCTGAGTCACCTCTTCATAGCAAAAGGCTGGGCAACTCCATGCCAACTGCCTCTTCCCCACAAGCAGAGCTCCTGCAATTCGCACTGCACTAACATAGGGCTCACCAGGCTCCCCCAGGGGCTCTGCACCTCACAGATCCCCACACCCTGTTAACTCATTGGCCCTGCTTTGCTAATGTAGGTGGGCAAATGACCCCAAAGTGGCAGAGATCCCATTCCTCAGCCCTTCCAGCCACAGATTAGAATAACACTAAGTAGGTGAAATGTACTTGCCTGTGACAGACAGGAGGAGAGATTAGATGCCACAGCGCTCTGTCCTAACTTTAAGCTTTCTGATAAATCTCTGAAGATTAAGGAGAGATGAGATTCCATAATATAAAATCTGATTTGACTTTAGCTCAGCTAAAGACGAGCACCCACTCCTTCACAGCCCTTCTGCACACCTCACCTTCCTGCACACATAGCACTGAGAGGGGAGCTAAGGTCATGGTCCTGAGCAAGAGGCCATTTCTCCATGCTGCCTCCTGCACCTACAAGGCACACACCTGGACCGACTCTGTCCCATAGGCTCCAACTGGCCCTGCACTGCCAGACAGCAGGAGATGGGCCCCTGCATCTACAGGACATACTCAAAGCTGGGCATGAAGAAGGCTGCAGAATAGTTCCTGGAGGTTAGCATCCCAGGGTGCTCCCTGAACACTTGTACACATTTTCTGCATGAAACACTCAAGTCCGGGAGACTCTGTGTTAGTTGAATGAGTAACATTTTCTAGACAGAAATTCAGTACTATTTAAAAAACGCTTGAACAGCCACAGCTCCCTACAGGCCATGTCTTACCTCCCATGCACCTCTCAGCGGGGTGGACCTCCCCTCTGCCTTGCAGTGCCATGGCCCAGCCACACAGCACAGTGGGCCAGGGGGAAGTCAATCCCAACCTCACGTGAATATCCTCTATTAGCCACATTAGAACAGCAGCTAAGTCAAGGGAAAGGGCAAGCACAACAAAGGGCGGATCCAGCACCAGTATTATTATCCCCCTCTCACACACTCGAGTCCCACATTGCTTCTTAATCTTCAAAACTTTGTGAATGTTTTTGCTCTGTTCTGATGCTCGCAAAGATGCTCTGAAGTAGTTGTAAAGCAAGGAAAGCCACCTGACATCCCTCTGTCTCTCCTAACCCTCCCATGTACTCTGGGATGACACCCCAGGCTGGCCCAGGCCATGAGACATCAAAGCAGACTCACTCAGGTGACTCACATTCCCTCCACATCCTCACAGTGGGAGAAGCTTCTCATGAACAAGAGCTCAAGCAAGTTTGGCAACAGCTAACAGATACTGAGCACCATCCCCTCATTTATGGATATTTATTCACTTTTTCCTCACATAAACAATGTTTTTGCTAACTTGGCATCCTTCAAGTAGAGACCAAGACCCTGTACAGCAAAGGCTAGAATACTCTCTCCAAACCAAACCATCTTTCACTTGCTGCAGACTGGCTTCAACTTCGAATGCAGCATATCCTGCAACTCCTCCTCACCCAAGCCTGGCACATCAGAGAAACGCACTTATTTTGCTCATCTACGGTACCTTCGAATGGCTGGGAATTTTTTGTCCTCATTTTGAAGCCCACGTTCCCCCTACATAGGGAACAAAGCCAGCTCTGCTTGCATAGAGAGCCTACATTGTTTTCCTTAATCTAAAATAAGTTCCACATTAAAGCCCACCTGCTTTGCATTTGTGTGCATTGAGCAATGACAAGAGAAATTCAGCAGAGTGGAGAGGAGGAAGCTGGGGACCAGATTCATTGCTTTTTTTGTCTGCAAGTATGACAGCTGCAGACACAGGAGGACCTGGCCATCTCACCAGTGTCAGGAAGGTCAGGCAGGGGCAACCAATGCTGGGCTCATATCACCCAACTGGGCCACACTAGCACTGCCTTGCCACCTGACCTGCAGCACAAGTAGGAGAGAGAGGAAGGGGACTGTAGTTTTGGACCCCTCTTATCCAAGTACAGGGGGCTGAATGCCAGCTGGGCCTGTATTTGGTTTTGCTCACTGATAAACAGGACAACTGTGTTTCGCATACTGAGATGTGTGTACTTTTTTTTTTTTTTTTTAATAAACACACTGACACACTATCAGGAGTGGTTCAATTTTTAGGCTCTTCTGCTGCACCCCAACCTCTCTATCCTGTTTCTGGAGAAGCTTCTTTACCTGCGGGAAGCAGCTTCGCTGTGCCTCTGAGAGAATGGAGAAAGGAAAGGGGGAATTAAAGCAGTTCCCAAGTGAATTGCAATCTCTCATCTTTTGCAGTCTTTGCAGTAAGCCTACTCAGCTAGCTTGCTGCAGGAGTTGCAGCATTCCCACCTCCTTGCTGTATGGTTTTAACTTCTCACAGCCTCATGTTACCAACCTACCTGTGCACCTCTGTCAGCAGGGACTTCGTGCACTTGTGAGTCTCATCAAAGTTTGAGCTCTACCACCCGTGCTATGGCACTGCTCCTGGCCATACTTCAGAGTAAAAGCTTGCATAAAGCAGAACCCTTTCCTCTCATGCCAGGGGAGTGGGGGCTGGTGGCTCCTTCAGGCAGGCACTGACGTAGGAGTGAAGTGAGAGCTCTCCTGCCCACAGCACTAACAGAAAAATAAAAATAAAAAAATCCAATAGGAGCAGCAGTCCTGGGAAAAGACCCATCCCTGTACCCTTGGATGGTTTGAGGCAGAGTGCAGCCAAGAGGAACTCAAGACTAAGCAGAATTTTACTTATTATTTTAAGCAATGCAAAGCTTGCACTTCTCATAATGCAGCAAAAGAAGAACCCATGACCTCACTTGTTCTATTTATTACAACACCTCTGAAATAGAAAAAGGCGCCTTTGCTACCTCCACAAAATGGCTTTTGTCTTTTTTCTTCATCTTAAGTAGCAAACCTGCCAAGGCTGAAAAAGAGATGCCAGTCCCAGCACTGTAGCACCTCCTGTACTCAATGCTAGTGGAAAGAGGAGCAGAAAGGATTCACAGACTTGTCTGAATCCTCAGCGGGATCTTTCCTCATTCCGGCTTTACAGTTAAGCCTACAGTAAGAAGGAAAGGAGTTACTTAATATAGGAAACATTATCTTGGTGGGCAGAAAGGCACTGAGGCTCTGAGTGAGCAGGCAGGCAGAAGAGCCCAGAGGTGCAGGCAGCAGAACAGCACAGCCCCATCATGAGGGAAAGGCCACCTCTGACCATCATGGCCACGCTGCAGTGTCTGACCACAGCCAGTCCCCCGGCACCACCATTCCTCCCACCCATACAGTCGCTTCTCCTTGCAAGGCACAGCATGAGCCACCCTCTGTCCATTCACTTGCCACGGGAAGCACCTGAATGAAAAAGCAACCAAAACAGCATTTTAGTGAAAACCTGTTATCCTTCCTCCAAAGAACCAATACCAAGCTGAAAACCGGCCCACCATCTTGAGATAAAAATCCATGCTCCAGAGCTGAGGATCACTACCGCCAGCATCCCTCATACTTTATGCACAGCAGCTCTAACACCAGTGACATTTCACCCTCTGTTATTGACTTCTGACCCTGAAGGCAGTTTCCATTTCTCATCTGCTTTCTCTGCTTTCAAAGCAGCAAACACCGATGGTGGGGCGGTGCTGCCTTCTTTTCTCTGCCATTTACTTCTAGGCAATAGCAAAGCCCTGAGGCAGCGAGTACCAGTGGAGCTCCAAAACTCCTGTCCACAAAGCAAACAACACTTCCACACCAAGCAGTGAAACAGCCTGGGGGCTTCCTGCTGCTCACATGGAGGACTAAATTAACCCTTAGCACAGCCTGAGCAGGAGCCACTGCTCTTGTTGTGTACAAGTAGGTAAGAAGACACAGATACTACGGCTGGCAGTGTCCACACATTAACACTGTTTTAACAGAGCTCTAAAAGAGTCAACTGGGAAAGTCTTCAGAGAGAAGAGAGGTTCCTAGGTGAGAAGACACTCCCAGGGTACTTATGAGGTCAGGGCTAACAGGGCTATTGTCTGCAGCAAAGAACAGCTGATAGAAAAAACTTTGCCACAGGTAGCTGAGGGCATGGCTTGGTTCCACCTGCTTACCTGAAGCCAGCAAGCTGCATGAGATTTCTGATTTAGATTTGATATATCCTGGATTTAGCATTATTTGCATTTTAAAGTGCAGAGGCTCAACCCAGTAAATAAAGTGGAAGCGGGTGGCAAGGGTGAAAGCATTTTGCACACTGTCCTTCAAGAGATGATGCTCAGCTCATACAGCAACCCAGTGAAGCACAGCAAGTACCCTAGCAGTAAATGAGCATGTCACAACAATTTGTCTCTACTCCTGCAGAGGCAATTTAACTTCATTTCAGTAACAGTGTGACAAGAACACATAGGAATTCACTCTGGTATCCGTTTTTTATTTACTTATTGCTGTCAATATGCAGTAAAGGAAGATCAGATGTGACTACCTCCTGAGTACAATACTTCTGTAAATTATGATATTGTGGCATCTGATTGTAATAGATCAAAGTGTTGCATTCACAAGCCACCAAGTGGTTTTTTTAACTGCCTTGATTACAGGTACACATTCTGGCTGTACTTTTCACTGCATCTTCCAGTATTACATGATAAAAAAAATTGCAACTGGAAAATAGCCTGAGAGTTTGATAGGACAATGCAAAGGGGAAAACCAGCTCCGCTTTTGTTTCTTAACTCTTCAACCTTCTGGGAACCAGAATTAATTTCTGGCCTTCTAGCATGCAAGCTGGAATAGGAAAAGCACAAAAAGGCCAGGTATGCTAAGGAGGGATGTAAATTTTATTCTCCTGTCCCATCACCTGTCACTGTAAAACTAGCAGCCCTCTGTGATGAGCCCTCTGGCTTTTTAAAGCATCCCATTATCTAGCAGGAGGACAGTGGTCAATAAGTGGCTGAAATGGAGAGACCATGCCTTCAGTGCTTATCCTCTGGTCACACAGTCCCCTCTAGAAGCTCTCAGCATATCACACTTTGCACCCTCCACCAGCATCAGTGCCACTCCCATGGATGACAACAGGATAAGGTCCCTTCCCTATCTCACCCCTAAGTTCACCCTAGAAGCAGCGCGGGATTGGAAGGGAATGACTTTGGTGCCCAGAAACAAAGCCTGAATATGCAAACAGCCACCCCAGTCACTTGACAAAAAGGGCACATGTAATACCCAGGGGTACAGACCTAAGAGCCCCAGTACTCTGGCAGCTAAGCCCTAAGCAAGCTCTGCTTTTAGCATCATCACCTTTGTATGTTTTACATCTCTGTTTTCTGACTTATATCACAGGGATCAAGTATCACTGAGCGTGCTTGCCATGTGCTCTGTAAGCACTAAGCAGTGCAGTTACTATAGTGTGGATAATTATTAGCCAGCTGCTTTTATAAAGGAGAGATTTGTACAACAAAGCCATTCCTCTCATGTAAAACACAAGGTAACCAACTCCAGTCTAAATACTCCACTGTGACAACCTCATGGTGAACAATGAGGAGAGACCACAGGCCAGCCAGGAGCCCACTTCTGATTAAGCTGTACACAGGACCTCTCCCATTCCAGCCTTGGCTTGCTGGAGGTCCAGGCTAGACCATGATAGCTTGGGCTGCAATTAAAAGGACTGGCAGAGAGCAGTACAAAGTGCTGGGTAAGGGCTATTTGCTGCAGTACACATTGAAGTGGATCTCCCCAACTCCTCAGCCCTAACCTCTTGCTGCTGACAACATTTAATTTGCAAAATGGTAGTAGGTGTCATTGCTGAACAGTTCTCACTCCACTCACCTGTCCTTAAGCTTGTTTTCCTGAGGTGATGAGGAAACCATCAGAGTCAAGGCTACTCCACACTGAACTTGCCTACCATTTTCTGCACAGACCTTTTCTCCTCCTCCTGACAGCAGCATAGTCAGCTGTCTTGATGAAAAAGTGTCCCCAGGATGTTCTGCCTACAGTCAGCACAGCATAGCCTTCCCTCCACCTTGCACTGATGCTACTGAGTTTTCTAGGAGATCTTTGCACGTGATGCTTTTGGAGGCAAACTGTAGAACAGCTTAGGTTGGAAGAGTCCTTAAAGATCATGTAGTTCCATCTCCCCTGCCATGGGGAGAATCCTCAGGTTGGCTTCACCTCGCGCTGTTCTCTCTCTACTTAAAATGTTGCTGCAGCATAAGATCGCCTTGTATTTGATGTTATGCTCTATACTGAGGAGGCAGTTTCCTAGAGGACATTAGGTAGAACAGGTTAAATTGTGCCAGCTGGGGGTGGCTACACTGAGTGTAGTTGGGTGGCTGCTGAGTGTAGCTGGGTGGCTGAGGAAGGATTTCTCAGAAGCACCTGTTTTTAGCAGGTAGACTAGGCAGCAAAGAAGAGGCACTTCCTAAGCTAAGGCCAGTGTTTCACGTTAACACCAGCTGCAGTATCTTGACAAAACATGGCTTAACGTAAGCAGCTGAAGCAAAAAGGCATGACCCAGAGTCATCAGCAAGGAAGGTCTGCCAGACCACAGAGAGCATCCAAACTAAAGCAGCAACACTACTTGAGGGAACTGCCTACACACAACTTCCCACCATCTTCCTCACCAAAGGACGCAACTCCCTTCTGAACCCTAATGCCTGACTGCTTAGTGTTTGCAGAGCTGAATGGCAAGTTGAGATTAGAAGTCCCCTCTCAACAAGAGTCACTTTTCATCCCCTGATGATGAATCTTTGTGTGATCTCATGATTTGATAGAGTGTCTCACGGAAGTGCTGGTGACGGCTCAGTCTTTTGGCTGCCTCTTTCAGCTCCTCGATGTTTTCAGCTTCTGCATGTGAGATGATGAAGGACTGGGACTGCTTCACTGAAACAAGAGCAGCACAAAAAGGTCAGCACATTCAGTCAAGGGGACAAATCAAGGAAAGCCAAGAGAGCACCTGAGCCATGCAATCATCACGACCAAGAGCCCTAGCCAGGGGTGAACTAACCATTGCACCAACAGCTTCACCTTAATGTTTTCAGGGAAGGAAAATGCTGACAGCATTTTTCTGCTTTGTAAGTCCTTTGCTTTACCTCTTTCCAATGTTATGGTGCTGTAAAAATGGATTTGACCTCAAAGACAGCCATTTTGAGTACTGGACTAGGCAAGACATTATGCAGATGTCCCTTTCAACCTAGCTCCATGTGAATGCTTAATCACAAAGGAAGTCAGCTTTGAGCATATTTTTTTGTAGAGACTAGGAGGCATCCCAGCAGTTACTGCATACTTTTCCACATACACAAAGAGACAGGTAACTGTGCAGATTTGTTGCCTGCTCTTCAGATAGCAAAACCCCAGGTTAGCCTATAGTTGCATGGTACTGCTAAGAACTATGCATTGTGAACCACACTTGCAGATCTTACTGCTCTTTCAGCCTCATCTGCATGCATCTGCTCCTGCAGGGCACAGAGGAAGAAGCTGCCCACTACCTACAGTCATTCCATGAAGCGCTGGCTCTCCGGCGGTGAAGGCGGCAGCTCTTTATGCGACGAGTGGCAGCTTTGTGGATGTACACAGAGTTCTTCATGATCACAGGCATCTTGGCCTCCAGCTCGGCATTGCGGATGCACTCTTCGAAGAACTCTGAAGAGAATATACCACTGTGAGCAGTGATGGGAAAGACACTGCAAGCAGTGAACCTGCCAGAAGGGACTACACTCAGTGAGTCGGGGGATGATGTTCAGTACTTCCTTAGATCTTCACAAACAACATTTTGTTAAGCACCAAGACATCATCAAATTCAGAATGACAGAAACCTCTGGTGCCATACTCAAACTAGAGAAAGAGTAGCAATCATCCATTCTCCTTTTGTCTTTCCCACATCTGCTAATGATGTAACTGCAGAAAGGCAGCTTACTCTCTTTGATATTATCATACAACTTCTCAACTCTGTCATCACAGAGGGCTCTGAAGCCTTGTTGGGCATGCTTTCCTTGAAGAAATACTAGAACCAGTTAAGTCTTAAACTGCAGAAAGGGAGGAGCTGGCAACACTGTCATGGACACATCCAGATGTGCCATGAACACACAGGGATTTCTAATAGCGCAGCAAATATTAGCAGTGGAGGGCTGCAGCAATCACCTAGGAGGACTGAGCAACGTGTGCTATGCCACAGCTTCCCTGTTTGACTCTTTGGGAAGCCTTTACACTTCTCTCTGCCCGTAGGTTTGTCTTCTACTACATAGGGAAGTATGGAGCAACACTGTACTCCTTTGAGGGTGAAGCATCAAGTGATGCACAACATACTGTGACTCCTCCAAAGGATGGTGAGGTTAAGGCACAAAGAGTTGGGAGAGCACTCCAGGTGCAGCCTTACTAATTTGGGAACCACTTTTTGAGTCTGGGAAGATGGGAAGAAATATTTCCTCCTGGGGACCACTCATCAGCAGAGAAGATGGATGACAGACTTACTTCTCAGATTACTGACATCTGCTTTCATCTTCTCCTCCCTCTCCTTGTTACGATCCAAAGAATTTAAGCCTTGCTCCAAGCTCTGCAATGCTTCCTCAGCTTCCCTCAGTCTCTTTTCCAGTTCCATGCGCACCTTCACCTCAGCCTGAGGAAGACGAAAAGAACAAATGCTCCTGAAAACAGCTTGTGTATCAGTAAGCCTCCTGCAACTCAACAGGTTTGCAAGAGACCCAATGAAAGATTAACAGTCAGGAAAACCAATAGAAATAAGACAAAATTTGTTTATTGGATCTTCAGACAGAACTAAAAGTACAGATATTTCAGCAATTCTCTATTCTGACTTCCCTTTTCACAGCTGCCCTCTCATCTTATGAACAACACGAAGTCAAACAGTACTCCAGCACCTGAATTCATACTTATGGAAGAATTTGAACAAGAACAGGACATCCTTCCATCCTAAATAGACTTGAAACAAAGGCAGTCAGTTCCCACAAAGGGGTGGACAGTAATTATTTTCAGAAACAAAATACAGTAAAAATTAGGAAAAAAAGGGGTGAAGTGGTAGCTTAGTAAACAAGCATAACTCATACAAACTTAGGTCAACTTAGCTTTAGTATGGCCAGCTGGAATGTTGAAGGATAAAAACTTCTTAGAAATGCAGGAAAAAGATGAGACAGGGGTTACTTTTGGACAAAATATTTGGAGAAGGGTTTTGAGTGTCAAACAGCCAGTAACTACTTACACTTTTCTTAGTTTAAAATAAAACAACATGACTTTGTCCAATTGTCTTTGTTTAGATCACCGTTTCTCTCATGACTGGGACAATTTCTATACTAGCATTTGAAGTAACCTTCATTCTTGACTGCATCTACTGTCCTGTATTATTGCCCCAGTTTCATCTTTAGATGATGCTTTCACATGAACAAAGGGAAATAATTTTTACTGAATAGGTTAATCAGCATCAGAATGAGAAAATAAATAATAGTGCTACACAGATACAGTGTGGCATCCTCATGTGTAACTGTGATATGAAGCATAGCAAACAGAGAGTTTTTACCACAGAATAAGAACAAATCTCTCTTTTGATGGGAGATGATATGAAAGAGAAGGAAGTCAGGGCCCAGGGATAGCAATGCATGATGCATATAGTCAGTACCTTGAGGTCTCTCTCTGTCTGCTGCTTCTCCGCAGTCAGCTCTGAGAGTGAGTTCTGCAGCGCTTGCGACTGGGAAGAGTAAAACTCTCGCTCCGCCTCCAGGGCTCGGGACCGCTCCTCATTCTCCTTCATCCTGGAGCATGAAAGAGAGAAAGAATCCCACCATCCCACCCAATATGACTCACACAGAGGAAGGGCCTAGGTATTGAGTAGGGGTATGTGTAACTACCAGGCTGCCGTGAGCAAAGGGGTGCTAAAGGCAGCATTGTCTGCATTTTCACTTCAGTAGTGCAGGCATGGCTGGAAAAAGCCATGTGGGCAGTTCCTCAACCTTGCTTTGTGTTGGCAACCTAAAAGAAAGGCAGCAGACAGCCACAGCATGAGGCACCACAAATCCTGATCGTGGTTAGATCTGTCCTCTTCTCTCTACCACATCCAGAAGTTGAAAGTAGGGATTTCACCTTCTTTTAGGCCCTAGGGTAAACATGGGAAGAGTTTTGAGGGGACCCTAGCTTTCTGGTTTCCCTTTCTGATTGCCTCCCATCTGTGAGGAGAAAAAAACTACCTCTTTTCCCACTAGAAAGCATCTCAATCCACATCCCTGTCACCACTGTAAGAGCCTTTGTCCCCATTTCACCTCTTCTCTGCCAGAAGTTTCTCTTCCAGGAGTTGCTGCATCCTCTCTTCAATCTGCTGCAGGCTGCAGTGCAACCCCCAGCTGGGGCTTTTCTCCTCGCTAGGACTGGTTGAAGGTGGGCTTTCATTTGTTTCCAACATCTCCAACATTTGCTGCTTTTCCATGGAAAGCTCCTTGAAGAAGGGCAGAAACTGTGAGCGTCAACCAGGTCTTATATTTCTGCTCCTTTTTCTGTCTGGCTCCTCATTATTGAGTTCTTCCATCTTTACACCCACGTTCCTCATTCAGGTTAAAAACAGGTAATACAAGGCAATAGGATGTACCATGCTGCAAAGTGTTTGGTCTGTTGTATAGCTGAAGTACAAATGCTCCTTCCCTAACCATTCAGATCTTTTTCTCCTACCCATAACTGTGGTTAGGAGAAGATTTCAGGAGGAACATCCTGAAATCCTGTCCAGATTTTGGACATCAGCAATTGATTTCTGGACTAATTTGTAGGATTAAAGTTGGTTGCCTTCAGCAAGCTAGCTAGGCTGAAATTTCACAAAAACTATATGCATTTAGAAAAGTCATTCTTTTCCTCTCCATCAGAACAACACCAAGTAAATAAAAGGGTTTAACACATCAGCACTCCGTATACAGTTCTCTGGGAACAATGCTTCAGCCTGTGAGCAAAGATACCTCTCTGCTGCTCTAATTTCTACCAGGGCTTATGGAGCTACTGTTCAAAAATCAAATAGCTATGTGGTTTACTGGGTTCTTTGCCACTTCTAATCCTTTTCTGAAGACAATTTTGGCCTTCATATCAGCTACTGAAAGAATCAGTTCATCTGCCCAGGGCTGACTTTGACATTAACAGATTAGGTTCATGCTACAGGACAGCAGTGCGTTCAGTCCTGGTAACTCCTCACAGACTGCTGCCATTCAGAAGCAACAAGTGGTCACTCACCTCCAGGTTTTTCTGTAAGGACTGAGTCAGGCTTCGCAACTCTTTCTTTTCTTGCTCCACTCCATTAAGGGAGCGGGCTGTGAGCTCTAGCTCCCTAAAGAAGGAAAAATGGTGATAGCTATGGTAGGGGAATGCTAGCCCCACAAACCACATTCAGACTGCACAGGCTGTGGACTTCAGTTGCAGGACCTGCTACTGGTGGTTGGTGCAGGCAGTCCTCGAGAAGCAGGAATTCCAGGCAGGAGTGTGCCAGAAAGCACCACACCTTGGACAAACTACAGGCATCCAGAAAATGAGCTGTGCCTCCCAGTGGAGCAAAAACCATCCCCTACGGGCTTCGCTTGTGAGGGCAGGACCATGATTACAGCTTGCAGAGCACAGACAGCAGGCATGAGTAAACAGGCGTATATCTATGATAACAAAAAAGGCTTATAAAAACCACTCCAGCTTTTCTGAGATGTTGTTTTGGGAGTAAAAGAAAAGAAAAAGAAAAATGCCATTTCAACACTCAGAATTTGCCCTTAGCTCTTAGCTAGGGCCCTTAGATCTTTCCCCTTCTATAGACATTTCTTGCTAATATTCTGCAGTGTTGCTCTCAAAAAGACAAAATTATTCTTAGTGAGGCAACTTCAACCTCCACCCATTCATCCATGTGTGCAAAATCTGGCTGAGATGTCTGGAGCCCATGGGGCTGGTGCGAATAAAACTGGTCTTGTCATTGAAATCCTCTGACATCTGCCTGTTGCTATACAGCCTCAATTAACCCAGGGTTTGCTTATGTCTCAGCTTCTCGAAAATGAGGTTGCTGGAGTCTTGAACAGCAAATGAAACTAGGATGCATTCTATTGGTCAATCAACAGCATCAAATGCAAGACATCAGCCATTCCTGTTTTGGTCAATACTGCATTTATCTCCTTCATATATAGGCAAAACCAATGAGTTTTACCCGTTGCTTTGATCCCCAACCTCACCAGCACTCCCAGCAAGTGAGGAGTTGGTGTCCTTCTCCTGCGTGCCCAGCTCAAGCCCTCACCGCCTGATCTGCTCCTGCTCCAGCCGCAGCTCCCGTACCACCTCTTCAAACCGCTGCTTCTCTGCCTCCAGCACCTGGTTCAGACGTTCCAATTCCTGCACCAAGAGAAGAGGCAGGAGAGCACTCCACACTACTTCCAGTCTCCCAGCCCCACCCCAAGGGAGCTGAATGGAATTGGCTTGTGAGGAACACCCACCTCTTTCTGCTCCCTCTGCAGACACAACTCTTCTGTTTCTTCCATCAGTTTATCTGCAAACATATGCATGCATAGAGGCCAAATTGCAGACAAATGCAATTTCTATCCCAGGGATGTTTATGTGTGAGAAGTACTGACTGTTGGGAACTTGTATATGCATTACCTATTGCTCTGTGCTTATCTTTCTGAGAGACTCCAAAGGCTGAGATTACACTAATGGGATGTTCTATAATTTTCCTCCTGCCAAATAACTTAATAAACTCAACAATCTTACTGCTGTGTACTCCTTCCAAAAGCTCCTCCCAAGGTTTTTTAAAACCTTAATGAAAACATTAATGAACTAACCTCTGCCAGTCTCTAGCTGACTTAAGAAAACAACCTCCTTTCTGCTTCACACACAAGGAAGCTAAGGCATGGAAGGGCTAAGCAACACACAGAGTCGCTCACAGCACAGTAGCAGGCTGTTCTCATACATTCCAGTGCCCCATCCTTACCCTCCCAGCACCCTCTGCATTAACCCCTCCAGGCTCAAGTGGGAGAAGGTCTCCCAGCTTCCCTCGAGTCAAGAAACGGCTCTAAAACATACTACAAGATTCGAATTATGGGGAAAACCATTGCCCATGCAATCAAAGATTTCAGTTTACTAAACCTGCCTAGATGCTCTAGATCTTTAGTAAAATCAGTGGAATAACTTTACCTAGAAAGGCAAAGGTCTATAGGGTCCTTCATAAAGCATATAAAGTTGACATCTATGGATGGTTTACCTTGCTACCAGTTTCCTTGGTATCAGAGAGGATATCCTGGTATCCTGGCAGGATTACAACTGCTGGGAGATACACAGACCTCTACTGCCTTCCCATAGCAGTGTTCCTCATGCCAACACTAACCTTTATGCTGCGAAAGCCCTGCTGGCAGTCACTGCTGCTTTTCTGCCCACTTCCATCCTCTTTCTGCTTGCCAGGAGTCCACACAGCTGAATTAGAGATACACAGAGACTCTCACACTCTTTCAAACTCTCCTAGGTGAGGCCACGTCCAAGGCTTGAGGGGCTTCAGCAACAACCCTGACTGAAAGGGAAACCCGGATCCCAAGTGGATAAGGGTATATGGAAGGGAACCCAAGGGGACTCGGAATTCTCCAGAGCAGGGATGAAGGACAATATCTGTGTTCTCCAAAGAGCATTGACCTGCTGCCAGCAGCAGTGCCTGACCTCAAAACGTAACTACAGGATGGACACAGACCACTGAAGATGAGGCTAATGAGGCAGAAAACTCAGCACTCAAATAGGAGTAAACGTACAGCTGCCCTCAAAGGAAAGTAACTGTGAAAAATCACCAGCTAAGAATAATCTTGTCATCACAGACCAAATAAACCAGTGAAGTATGTATTTTGCACTTCAAATATCTTGCTTTGTACAGGATGTGTTTTCAATTGCTGCTGTATCATCTTGTCTTTTACCATACTTTGGCCTTAAGCTCTTTATTCAGCTCTGGTATTTGCAAAACAATGCTTTGATAAAACTTTCCTGTTTCTAACTTCCTGCCTATCTCTCCAGGTTCTCCTGTCAGTGCTCCCTGTTATCTCTGTGTAAGGCGTGGAGCCACTGCTCCCTGCCTGTCTCACACATGAGCTATCTATCCATCAGCTCACACATGACAACATGTCTTGATATGTAACAGTGATCATAGTTTACATACGAGATGATTTATGGAGATCACCCTTGGTCAGTAGCCTGATGGTTAACAATAGACAGCAGGAGACAGTTTGATGTGTCACTAACTCACCTACTGCAGGCTGCCTAAGCAAAGCACTGGACTTGCTATAGGATGGATGATGTGACCATCAGCTCACAGCCTAGAAGGAGTTCTACACCTACCCTGCAGAATGCTTTGCCTAGCTTAGGAGGCATCTGGGTTGAAGAGGCTGCTCTCCCTTTGCTCTTGCTATAGCAAGTGGAGAGTGGCAGCTTCACCTCCTAGGGCAGTCAGAGCACCCAGCATACTGCTGTCCAGAGAATGGTTTCTGAGAGACTGCAGTATTTAACCTCCAGAAGTATGTTCCAACCTAAATTATTCCATGTTCACTTGGAGAAACTGCTCTCACCATTGCCCACAGACACAGTAATAGAAATTAGCCATAAGACACCACAAACAAGGCCCTGAAAATGCTCCCAGTTTCAGCATGAACAACGTGGGGAAAATGCAGACAAAGACTGAGCAGACATAGACAAAGAAAGATCTAAGGGGAAAAGAAAACCCAAAACAACCATGTATAAAACGCTCTGATCAAGCTCAGAAACACCAGTCCTACTTAATTCAGGACAGAGAGGTATTGGCTGGTAGCCTAATGAGCAGATGAGACCAGCACATCCCAACAGTTGCACAGGGCAGTCAGCAGGAGCTGCAGGACTGCAGAGTTCTGGCCACGGCACACTCTTCCTTTCATCTGATGACTCTGATGTCTGGATCTTACCTTAACTTTTTAATTCCCTTCAGAACCAGAACCTTAGCTGCTGGCTATTCAAAAGCTTCACCTTGTAAAAGTCATCAGTAAAATACTATAGCTGCTTGGCTTGACTGAGCTGACAGTTCCAGAAAGGCCAAATGACTATTTTGGGTTTTACAGCTTTTAGAAGTAAGAGTTTCCTACCTACATACTCCTGTTTCTCCTTGGCCAGCTGCAGTCCTTGGGCTTCCAGGCTCTCAATCATGGCTTCTCCCAGCTGGGCATTCTTCCAGGTCCTAGGGAGAGCACACACAAAGCAGACAATAAAAGAGATCTAAGAGTCCCACAAAGAGAGACAGAGGGACTCAGCCCAGCCATCTTATCAAGGAATTCAAGCACACTCTCAGTGGGAATGGCAATTCTCTAAATTCTTCTCCTCAAGTGACTTAGAAATTTTCCTGACACTCAATAGCAGAAAGTTTACAGGAACAGTGCTTCAGCACAGCACAGCTATTCAAACATTCCTCTAGTGTTTCAGAGATTGCTGTACTAAGCTTAGTCTTAAGTGCTCCAGCTGCAATATGCTGTACTTGGAACACAATAAATGGATCCTGACAGACTTCAGAACCAAATTTTAGCTTTTAACTCAGCTAACATTCAATTTGCTGGTGAGATTGTCTTCCATTGTCCAATTACTATTTTAGCCAATTTTCCACTTCAAACGTTAACTATTTATTGGCCTCTTCTCACAGTTTTTTATCCTCAGCCTTCCTGGTATCCATCATCCATCCACCTTGCAGCAAATCAATTTCTCCACTAAATTGGTAAGCCACCAGAATTAGGTGTCTGGCCCTACTCTGAGATAAGTGCCTCTCCCTGTAAAAGCATTGAGGGATCAGAGATAAAAGCCAGATGAGAAGCTGGCAGGTATGGAAAGTTAAAAGAAGCAGGCATATTCAAAGAATAGCCTGCATTACTGTAGTACCATTGACCAGAGGATCTCAAGGTCTCTTGAAAACATTACGAAACTAAGCTGCAGAAAAAGCCTGTGGAGCAGATACCCATTAGTGACTGAGTTGATGGACAGAGTAGGCTTCAATACAGAGACTAAATAACCAAGGATGCAGACACACAAATCAGAAACAGAACTAGAAATTGAGTTCACTGCTCTGCTCACTTCTATAGATTTTCCATTAGATAACAGTAGCTACACAGATAAAATACATTAAATGTACATGTAAAATTAATCCAAATCTATTTTTATAGGTGCATGCACAGAAAAAGCAATAACTGCTCAGAAGTTTTGTCTTCTTAGTTAAATCACAAGGGAGCTTATGAATTAGATGCCTGTAAGCCTTTCTGCACCAGGCCTCTTTGTGAGCCATTTGAATCTCTTATAAAACGTTTCAGTGCAACCTGTGCCTTGTCTCTGACAGAAGCAAGACAAATATATTAAACACACATCACCCCAGGCACCTCACACCTCCAGCAGCCCAAGCCCTGAGCTCCTTGCAGACAGCTGGGTTTCTTTCCAACTAACGTGCATTTAGGATATTTCCAACACGCAGAGGAAATTAGAATGCTAATTTAAAAGGTGATGTTGTGCCCACAGGTAGACCTCTTCATCCTGAGTGAGAGCACGTGGGTGTGAATGTGTTTTTCCACTGATGAGCTCTGATGTAGGATGAATCTGGGCCCAGAGAAGCCACCAGCAAACAACTGAAACAAGGGAGGGAGAGTTTATCATATAATTACATGGAGAGTTTCAAAATGGCTGCAGCCTATAATGGGTCTCTTTATTAGATTCATGTTTTCAGTGCTCCCTCCTTAGCCTCACAAGATGTATTCCTATCTGTAACCTGAAGTTGCCTGCAACTTCCACGCAAATTTTCCTTAGAAAATGACACGTTACCTGAAGCACTGTAAAGGGCCAGGAAGACTCTTGGAACAAGTAGAAAGTGCCTTTATAATATACTTATGAAAAAAAAAAAAAAAAGAAAAGAAAGAAAAAGCCCTCAATATTGTATCGTATGTATATCAACTCCACTTACTATCCAGCACAATCATCCTCTATTCCAATCCTTTTGCAGCACTAGAAACATCTAACCAGCTTTGCCTGCATTTTACCTCATTTGTGCACGTCCACAACCAGTTTCTAGAGATGCTTTGCACTTCATGGTCCACAGGGCACTTGTACTGCCCTAGTTCCTTCTACTTAACAGCTTAATAAGAATCATGTGCGTAACGGGGGATGAGTAGATGGGACACAATGTATGGCCCCTCAGGGATTCACGCTATTTGGAGGCAGAACTGTCTAAATAGGTGATGTGGAGGTCAAGGGTGTACTTTGGCCAGTGGCCTAGAAGAACAGTGACAGGGAAGGGATCTCTGCTTAGAAGACTACTGGAAGCAAGGAGGAAATGGCACAGTGAAGGATTTCACACATACAGAGCCACTGGTAGGAGTGCCTGAGCTTGAGTTGGCTCTTAGGCCATGGCAGCCACAAATATCTATAGAGCAGATCCAAGAAAAGAAGGAATAGAAAGCAGCTTACACTTTTCCAGATTCCTGCAGCATCTCCAGCCACTGAGCCTGCTCAAACTCTGATTCAGCTGCTAGAACGATGTTACCCTAGAACAAGGGAGGGGGAAAATAAAACAAACAACAACAGAAAGATTAGTAGGCTGGTGCCTTCCATGCCTGTGTGCCCAGGGCATGGACTGGGCACTGCTATGGCAGAAGGAGACATTCACCTCCATGGGAGGCATCATATGGGACTAAAAATGTCATTCTTGCTTGGAAGGAGATACACACAGCAAGCAGTCATGGCAAGAATAAAGTGGCAGGGAAGGGGAATAGGGAGAAATGAGCTCTCGGGTTCCCAAATCTCTATCAACTGATTTGCTAGTATACCAAGAGCTGCTGCCAAAAGAGGAAGCTTCCTTGCTGGTTGTCACTGCAGGAGCAGTAGCAAAGATTTGAAGGGACTTGAGATGTGAAGCCACCCTCTCTCACAGGAGGGCTTGCCCAGAGAGAGTAAGCATACATTGACAGGGTGGAAAAATTAAGCTTAGCTCATCCACAATAACTGCTTTTGTTTTTACCTAGAGAACATAAAAAAGAAGACTACTTACATGGAAGTCTTCATGAGAGATCTTTATGGCATAAGGCATATTGGGCTCTTCTTTGGGTTCCACAATGCAGCCCCCCAGGGGTATGACACCCTGGGGATGAACCAGAGCACTCCAATCAGTCATCAAATTCAAGTATAGTGCTTACAACTAATCAGGAACTGAGCTGCCACCCTTGGCCACTTGTGGGACCCTGACCTGCCTTGTATTTTCCAGAGAGGCAATAGGCACAGCTCCTGAAAAGCAGATGGATTCCCATCACCACCACCAGACACACCCACCTCCAAGTGGTGTCTGAAAGGGGGTAAAGACTGCTCCCCTGCACCCAGCTTGGAGAAAAGGTTGAGGGCTAGAACTCAGGTGTGGAATCTGTTTTTTCAATGAATAGGTGATCTCTTGAGAAGAGCTTAACAGCATTTGCACAGGTTAGTACAGATTAGGAACAACCAGCAAAACTGGTTGCCTTTGCCAACTGTATTCTCACAAAATCAGTTGATGAGGAAATCATGCAAACCAGGGGACACATTTACTATTAAGGGAAGAATTAAGGCCATGTATCTGATGAACCAGTAAGAAGCCTGAAAGAGAAACTGACAATTCTCACTTTTTTTTTTTTTTTGAGGCCTCTTTGGCCTTACCTCCTCTTCACTTGCAGTCTCATAATAAATAAAGAAATAAACAAATAAAACAAAAAAAACCCACAACACAACAAACACCTAGGAACAGAATAACCTCCTCTGCCACACAAACACTGCTCACCTTGGGGTGGATATTAAAGTATTTATTGCTCTCAAAGCTCTTCTTCTCACTCTCAGCATAGTAAAGCAGGAAACTCTCCTTAATGATGAAGAACCTTTAGGACAGAAAAGAAATAAATTCTGCTAGAACAGAGTTCTTGATTCACAGCACAAGAAGATGTCCACCTGAAAGGTGAAGAGTTGACCATTCCCATCTAAACTTCAGATGGGATGCCTCACTTCTGTCCAAAGGTGCTAGTGCTTCACAGTGAACTCTAAGTTCTAGCATGCAGCATGAAGACAAACCATAGCAGAATTTACTGGCAGATAAATGGGACAGAGGTCTGCACCCAAGAAAGGATCCCAGCCAAAGTGTTTTGACATCTTGACCTGTGCCTATTTTGTCTAGTTCATATAGTGGACTCAACCTATTGGAAGAGAGCCACCACTCTTTTTTTGTTTCTCTCTTTAAAAGCAATTACCAGCTTATTTTTGCCATCAGCTTCCTGTCACCCTCTGTCACCTCATTGCCTCTTGCCAGCATAAGCCAGAAAGGAAGCATTCTCTCTGTAACACTGAGTCATATGGCAGGGAGAGCAACGAGGCAACATCCTCGAGCAACTCTCAAAGGCAAAACATTTGTCATGAGAGAACTCAGGAGCTGAAATGAATTGTACTGATATTTTTAAGCAGAGCTGTTAGCAAAGTCTTCTGCCACTGGCGTTTGTAAATAGGAAGGAAATTTAATTTCTTTTTATATGTGTCACATTAAAATGTGCCATGTTCTGCACAGTTAGCCTTAGGTATGCTCTGATGAATGCTGCATGGTAGCCACGAGCATCACAGCTCCTGTAAAGCAAGCCTGTAATTTACCAGAGCATGTCCTCAACATTGTAATGTTGAGGAAAACCACTTCTAGCTTATTTGGATGTTCAAAATTCCCCTAGCAGAGTCCCTCTGCTTGAAGAAAATTGATGTTGCATTTACACTGCAGGCAATGGTACAGGAGAGAGACATTTGACTTCACTTAAATTCAGTCTGAATACCTGCAGCACTCAACAAAGCTGAGGGGCAGCTGAAAAGACAGAGACTAGTTAAAGAAGTTAACAACAAAGAAAATGTTTTGCACTTTCTATAGAAAAGATCTGCAGCAAGCTCAGGCTCTGGACCTACCATGAGCCTGCTTCAAAGCGTGACAGCTCGTGAACATGTGCACATTTACACACAGAAATGTTCAGAGCATACAAAGAGCAGCAGCAATTCGTATGCCCCAGTTTCTCTTTTCCTTGCCCGTTCATCTGTACCTGCTGTGTTGCCACCGGCAGTGTGGAGATGCCCACTTGCTGTCTCAGCAAGACGCTGCTTTCTCACACATTGACCAGCTCCCCCTCGTGTCCCGATCACAGCATTGCAAAATCTCACTGGACGGAACAGCATGACCCAAGGTTCGAGTTCTCTTCTGCGCTGGGCGTATTCAGTCAGCTGGGGACTGCAGAGGAGCTGATAGAGGGGAGCGCAGCCTGCAGCACCAGCCCAGACTCTGTGTTACTGTAAGAGGTGGCAAGGAGATGTACTGTCCGTGGGCACAATTGTTCTGGGAAGCACCATCCTAAACACCTCTCACCAGCATCACAGGTAGGGGAGCAAGGCTGTTTCCTCGTGATAGCAGGTGGGGTTGAGGAAGAGCATCTCAGAATAGGTGTGGGGCTGAGCTGTGCACACAACTCAGACACTGACATAAGGCATTTTACAGATTTAGCAGCGGGCACAGCTGTTGGACACGGTCAACAGATTCGAAGGAAACATTTGATAAGCAGCTAAAGATGCTGATACTGAACTACACACCATTTCTAATCTAGTGTGCTTTAACCTCTGTTATAACCTCCACTTGTTACATACTTTTGGGAAACTCAGTGTTCCTGATAATCCCCACATAACGGATTATGCTCCAGAGGAAAAACAAAATAAGACCATGAACGCTGATCTGTCCAGATTGACGTGCCTCTGACAGATGAGTGAACTTTCACACCCCTGACCTCATGAGCATGGTGAGAATCTGTGGGTATTTGGAATGAAAAAGTATAAAAATAGGAGCTTAAAAAAAATACAGTAAGTAACAGAAAAACCCACAGGCAATAAATAAGAAAGACTACTGGACATCAGCTGGTGGAGGAATAAAGAAGTTAGGAAACTGAGTAGTATCCTAAGCACCTGGAGAGCAGCAGCAGAGGGGAAAGAGGAGGCAGCACTCACTCCGTGCAGCACAAGGAATGCAAGAGCCATTAGGCAGCCCTTTGGGTCACCTGTTCTCTGTTGTTAGATCCTGCTCCAAGAAACCATTAGAATGACAGTGTAATGAGACTGGAATATAAGAGCAACAGTGACAAGCAGAGGGATTCAGCTGTGAAGGCGGAGATGATTTGGTCTTCCTGGATTAGCTGTACTGATCCATACCGGCCAGCAGGGATACCTGCTCTCTGGGGATAAAACGCTGTCTTTGTATCACAGAAGGCTAACGAGATTAAGTAGCTAATCATTGCACAAGTTTTTGAAATGAGGTGAGCGTTTGCCTTACAACTGCTGCACTCTGGCTGCTCTTGCCCTACAGCAGGTTTCAGGGCACCAGTCCAGGAGCACACGTGGCAGGTCCCGGTCATTGCAACAATTCTGATCCAGGTCTGGGATTTCAATTGCTAAATCATCAACCACCAAAGCTCTGGATGCTCTGTCTGGACTTCTTCTCCAAACTGTCATCTGTTCAGTCTCTATCTAAGAGATAGATATCTCTATCAGTCTCTATCTCAAGCACATGGTACTTTTGACTGGTGCCCTATTGGTGTTATGGAGCAGAACCCAACTGCAGAGGTACTTGAATGTGCTGGGACAGCCCCAGATCTCCTCTGTCCCAGAAGAACATGACACAGGGAGTCACAACCTGGCACCACCACACCACTCCCATCTGCCCTATGCCAATGCCTCTTTATGTCCCACTGCCAGGCTCAGCCCAATCCTGGGACCAGTTCTCACTTCCATCGTCGGCTCTCCTGGCTCTGGAAAGCCCTCATCCCAAGTCCTACAAGCACCTCAGAGACACCTCCCATTTCCCAAATGCCCCACTGCTCTCCCAGGACCAGCTGCTGTGCTCACAGCAACCCTACCACACCGGCTCTGCCCTGCACTGCCTCCCACCTCCTCCCACTTGCTGTTACTGAAATATTTACAGCTTGCTTGGGATGGGCGACTTGTAGGAATAGAAAAGCGCTAAATAAATAATGACAGAGCACCAGGCCATTTGCCTTTAAGAAATTTTGATTAGGAAGAAGAAAGCCTTTTAAGAATGTGTTCTTCATAGTAAATTACCTTCCCCTATGTTATTTTGTCCACTTGTTTTCACCAACAGCCACATCAGTTTCCAGATATCATCCATTTCAATATCAATGCTTGCTGAGCAGGGAACAATAGCACAAGCCCTCTCTCTAGCAAAAAAACAGGCCATCTCTTTCAGGACAGCAAGCACAGCATAAAACCTGCACGTATCACACAGATGGCCACAAGCACACACTTCCCCAGCAACGTTTAACTACCTATTGAGCCAGGCCATCTTGGCAGGTTTAAAGTGAAGTTCCACGAGAGCAATGCCACTTTCCAGCCCCAGAGACAGCTCGGGTTCCTGTGGACTTCTGTTAACAATTAATTTGGGCCTCTTCCCAGGGGAAAGGTAGGGGAAAAGGAAAACAATAATTTGATTTTCTGGCACATTTTCATCTGAGTTATCAAACTAGAGAAGCAAAGTAAGGACTGTTATCCTTCTTTTAAAGACTGTAACAACAGATCTTGGGTTAGAAAATGTCTGGCAATATTAGGGGGAACACATGGAGCTTTACAGCTGCAGGTCTTGAAACTGATCAGCTTGCCAATGACATCCATCAGGAGTGACACTGACCTGCATACCAAGAATGCAGGAGGGAGAATTAGTCCATCAGATCACATACCTACCAGGAACCACAACCAGAGTTGTGCATAAGAATGTGGTACATTCCAATGTGCAGAAACATTCCAACCCAGCCGTCTTGCACCCAAGGAGCTCGTGGAAGAAATGAATCCCTATTGTTATCCTGCAGTGCCTGTACGATATGGTACAGGCATGCAAAGAGGAAAGCATACCTGTGTGAAGCTGGCTCAGGACAGCAGGGAAGCTCTGCCTGAAGCTTCCCCCCTCAAATCTGTGGCGCTTAACAAGAGCCTGAGAGCTCAGCTGACACCCAGCCCCGCATCCCACTGCAGCAACCGCAGCTCACCTCCTGGACCACTTGGCCGAGTGCCTCCCGAAGGGTCTCTTCCACAGCACTCCGTACAGCTGCACTTTGGTGCTGATGTCTAGAGCATCCGAATCTGCCTGCTCCATGGATGGAGAAGGGGACACGGAGCTGGATTTGGAAGCAAACATGATAGATGGGTTTGGTTCCAACTCTCCCCCTCTGCTCAATGGCTCAGAGAATCCGATTAAATGCAGCGAGCCAGAAGGACACAGTCAACCCGAGCAGCACACAGGCTGGGCTACGGACAGAATCAATAACGTGGCTGCTCAGCACTCAGTCAATAATTCCCTCCCTGATGCACAGACAATGAAGCTTCTTCGTTCCATATGGCTTCCTGATGCATTAAGAACAGAGCACATCCCAGACTAAGAAATGAATTAAAAAAAAAAATAAATAATAAAAAAAAAAAAAAGCAAAGAGAGCCTGAAATCAGGCAAACAGGAGGCAGAGAGAGCTCACCAGGCAGAAAGTCATAATATAAGCATAAATGCCTCCATGAAAGAGCCAGCCAGGATATTGCACTCAGCTTTGCAGCAGACAAGGCAGCAATCAGAGCGAGATGGACACTTGGCTGCTGAACATCTCTCACACATTCCCCCAAATCTTCTGCCTGGAGGCAGGTCTTCATCCACCCAAGGGCAAGGGAGCAGAGCAGCAGGAGCCAGCGAGCTCAGCCTGCCTCCATATGCCCACTTTGGGTTTTGTGCTAGCCTGGCTCTGCCCACCCAGGACACTCACGTGGCTGCTGGGTCTGTGCTGGGCAGTGTTCGTGTTCATCCTTAAAGGGCCATCACTGATGGAAGGTTGAGGATCACAATGCTGTCTGCCCTGTGCTTCAGCCTCTACGTGCTGTCAGTACAGTCTCTGCCCTTCCTACCTCCCCTCCCCCCCCCCAGGCTCCAGCTGCTTCTGGGCCAGACCACAGGTTCAGGAGCACAGCATGCAGGTCCACATCCTAAAGCCCTTGTTCACCTCTGAGATCCCCCTTCCCTGTATAAACACACACACACTCTCAGCTCCAAAAACACTTCAACCTCCGTAATACTGACAGGATAGCACATTGTCATCATGTTGTTCTTCCCTGGGACCACCTCTATTAATGGAACATGGCGGCAGAACCACCAGCTTTGCCTCTTGAAACGCACCTGGAGCTTTGAGGTATCAAATAATCAATTCGTGCTGTGAGACATCTGCTCCAGTTTTGGCTTATGGCACCCTATTTGCATTGACATCAATGCTGTAATCATCAAACTGTCAGCCATTACTCAGAAGTGACACCCTGAAGGCACGCAATTCAGGAACTAGCTATGTGCCATAGGATGCACCAGAGCTTTACATAGAGACAGGCAGCTTGAAGACCACTTGCAAAGCATCTTAAGCAGAAGAAACTGCTGCCTGCCTCAAGGATATATGCTGCCTTTGGCATTGGAGCGGTTACAGACATGAGTCCCTGGTAAATGGGTTCCTGGTAAATGTCACTGCTGATGACCTAGATGAGAGACAGCAGTCCCAGCGCCCTGCTACTTCCCCAGCTTTGTCTGCTGGCCTGGTTTCAGCTGGGACAGAGTAGATTTTCTTCATAGTGTCTAGTATGGTTGTATGGGAACTGCTGAATCACAGCCTGAACCTCTGATTGAGGCGAGCAATGAGTCAGCCTCAGGAGCAGAGGTGAAGGCAATTCACCTGTGCTGCTGGAAGGGGTGGAGCCTGGCTGCACCTCTCCTAGATCCATTTAAGAGCTGGCTACCAGTGGGAAATGATCTCTTCTAGAGATCCCTCCTCTGGAGTTTTACAGTGAGCCCAGGACACAGGTAAGCACTCTATTCTCTTTTTGTATAATAACCTGCTTAGCCAAGCTCTCTGGTATATTTCATAATTACAATATCTGTATATTCATTGATTATAGAATGGTGTTATGTTCTGGGGATACTGCATATTGTGGAATATGAAAAAGGAACGCTTCAACCAGGACTTCAATCACAAGTGGGAACTACAAGAACTGAAGTGCTGTTGCTCTTCATGTTCCTACTTACTCATTCAGCTGTTCCCTCAGCTCTAATCTGCAGCAGCCTCTGCTCCTTTTCCTCCTTGATCTTCCTCACCACAAGGACTGGGCTCATGCTGCAAAGGACAGTGAGACAATGTACCTCTTGCCTCACTGCACTGTGGTTATCTGCAGCTTGCCCCTCTGCAACTGAGCAAGGAAAACTTGATTAAGAGTTATTACAATAAAAGCCATTCAGGGTAGCATTAAGGCTTGCGGCAGGTTTTAGCAGCCCCTTTCACCTCAGTGTAACATTAACGACTCATATAAACTTGTTTCTTTAGACATTAGCATCCATTAATATCCACAGACTGCAATACAATGAAATATCATAAGCAACCACCGTGTGGGAAACAGGTTGGGCACAAACACACAGACCTAGCATTACTCCCAGTGGCCCAACTATTTTCCAATGATTTCATCTTGAACTTCAGAATTTCTAGATACTGTACAGGTTTGGTGTCAGTCATAATGGAGTTCACTTTTCAGTAGTTTTACATGTTTTCTGAACAAAGCATTTTTTCTTAATCCAAAATTCACTGTAAGGGCTTGCTAACCTCTACATATCTTAGGCAGGAGGCAAAACCACTGTGGCAAGAAGGGACAGCGCTCTGCAGCTCTGCCTGGGGTGACACCTGGGTAAGGCTTGCATGCATCAGCAGAAAGGTTCAATTTGTAAGCTGGAACAATAAGTAAATGACAGCTCATCACCTCCTTACTGCAGTACTCACCCTTAATGAGTCTCATTGGAATGCCAATGGAAAAGGAGTTTTTTTTCCTTCAATGAAAGAACTCTCTGCAGCCATCATCAGGAAGTCTGCAGCACCACAGCTTCTCAGTTCTGAAACTTTGTATGGTAACTTTTGTCATATAAATAGACCCAAAGCACTTCCTCCTTCCTCACTGCTTCTCAGGATTTACATCAGGCTGCAGAGTTCGTATCCAATTACTCAGAAAAACGTTTCTATTAAATACACTAAAAGTATCTTGTCTTGCAAATTAAGACAGCATAAAGAGATGACATTTCTTTCCTCACCACAAGACCTGTGAGCTACCAGAAGAATAATAGCAAACAATCAGCTGAGGTGCTGCTTATTGCTCAAGTGACACACATCTCAACCATGGCAACTGTTAGTCATGGGGTCGTCAATAAACCTGTAGATAGCTACCCCAAGAGAAAGAAAAAAAATCCTTCTGCTGTTGAAGTACATCTAAATCCTCTCTCTCTATCAAGGGCATTGCTTAAATGGATGTGTGAAGGTTCTTTGCTTTCAGAATAAATACTTCCCTCATCCCTAGCGCCATTCCCCTTCCTCTGAAATTGGATGTCTAAAAGCCAGTCCTGCTTACAGGGCAGTTGGAGAGTACAGACAAGAAGAATACCTATATACCAAGTAAAGTCAGAATCTTAATCTTATTTCTAAAGGCTATTACAAGAAAGACATTCTCAATACAAGAGATGGACATACCAGAGAGCATCTATCAAAGGGTCACTGGGATGGAACTAGGGTACATTTCCTATGGGAAACGCTGAGAGCTGGGACTGTTTGGCCTGGAGGAGGCTCAGTAGTGATCTCATCAGTGTACATAAGATACATCCTTTTTCACTGTGCAGGTGATGGAGCAGTGGCACAGGCTGCTCAGAGGTTCTGGAGTCTCTTCCTTGGAGATGTTTAAAAGTCGCTTAGACGTGGCCCTGGGCAGCCTGCTCTGGCTGTACCTGCTGGAGCAGGAGTTGAGCCCGATGGACACAGATGCCAACTTCCCTATTCTGCCACCAGCACCCTGGATAACATTTAGATAGTGCTTTCCCACTGTGCCCTAACCAACTCAACACACTGCCAGTTATCCTTCATGCTATTAGGGAGGTGAAGTTGGATAATTACCTATCTGCAAGCTATTGAAAGGATGGCCTCACACTATAGATGGCTTTAAGTCATTAGCATTTCCTTGAGTTTTATCACCCAAGGTCAAATGACAACAGTTTCAGACCACTTACTTGAGAAACCTGCTCTGCAAGGGCCCTGCACAGAGTTCTGAAACAACTATGCAGGTGCTTCCTTTGGAACCATCTTGTGACCGGCATTCAAATTCTTATTTACTCTTCAGCTGCTTCAAGAATCCAAACCACAATTCTCAACTTTGCACTAAATCCTGATGGTGGCCATAGCATGCAACTTCCAAAAAGCTGCAGCACAAAACATGCAGCTGACTGAATTTTAACATATCTTTTAAGAAAACCTGTGAATGCTAATAATACTCTCTGAAACGTTCTGTTTGCTGGGTGAAGATTGTTCTGCTTTTTTTTTTTTTTTTTTTTTTTTTTGGCTGAGATAAAATCCATTTTCAAACCTCTTCTCAAATCCCCTGCCTAAACACCCCTTAAAAACACTTAAAAGTTAATTAGCAACTACTATTTGGAACTTGAGAACATGTCATAAGCAAATAAAATACTTCCAGAGAAATTTGGAAGCCTGAAAATGGTGTAGTATTTTTCTCTGCAGAAAGAACAAAAATCAGCTCTCAGTTACAATGACCATCAGTACTGGGGTTGAAAAGAAAGCTTAGTGAGCGGTGGCTTAACACCAGCTTTGATTTCATTGCACGCAGCAGGAAGAGGATAGGTTGCCTTCAGGAAAACCCATGTCAGTACTGACATCTAACTGCAATACTGCAGAGCTGTGAGGAGGACTGCACCAGGATCCCGTGGCAGTCGCACAGAGTGCTGAGATGTGAGAAGGGGTCTGACAAGATGGGATGAAAGGCAGAACAAGCAAAAACATTTCATTAACAGTTTTTCCTCATGTCACAAAAGCAAAAGGCAGGGTATGGTTTTGCATACATACTTAAAATTGACTTCTCACCTGAATCACACACATTCATTTGGGAGAGCCTGCTCTGCTACCAAGTCTGCAGAAGAATGGAGTAACTTAGCATTTGGGGCTGGGGGCTGACCATTTTCATTCCATCCTATGCTCTCAATTTTCTTTAGCCCTAGCATGTCCCCATCAGTCTTGATTCAGCCATCACCCTCTGACCCTCCTAACATGGAAGGTCTCTGCCTTATATGCAGGAAGAGAGCTTCAAAGCAATACCAACTCCTAAACGCTCTGTGGGAGACAAAAGTTGTCAAATGCCCCTCTTAAGCAGAGCTGTCCAATCACGTCTGTATTTATGCCTCTGAAATCATTCACTCCATGTCTAAATTGACATGCCAGACTGCCTCTCAACATGCAGTCAGTTTCACGCTTCAGATTTCCAAGCAGTGCTCACATATTAAGAAGGGAAGCTGCAAACACAATTACCCAAAAATAAATGGCACTGTCTGCAATGCTTGCATCCCATTGAATACTGTCATTTCTCTTTGCAGGAGCTGTCACAAAATCCCATTATGGTAAATGAAAAGCCAACACTGAAGCACTGCACCTAGTAAAAATTTAATATAATAAAACAAATTGAAAACTGCAACATTATTTTATAACCATTCACAATTAAAGTGGAAAAATTATAAGGCAGCCATTCATGGAATGATTTTGTGTACAAATGGTTTGAAAAAAGAGACATTAAAATTACAGTTCCATACAAGGAGTCAGGTAAACAGCAATGACCACACCATGTTCTTCCCTGGAAAGCCAAGGCTGCTAAGAGATGTAAGAAAATCAGAGAAAAATTACTTTTTTAAACAAGTCTGAAGTGAACAGGAATCTGAAACTCAAATTTTCCCACCACAACACAACCACTTCTCCTCCCACCCCAAAACAATAATCATGTCTTCCTCCCCCAAAGTCCCACGCCAAGCAGCACAGAACAGGAAGAGAGCAGCAGATACATTTATTCCACAGCAAGTGTTACTCTGCATAAAGCTGGTAACCACACCACACATCTGCTACTGTCAAAAGCTCCTCGAAGACTTTGAACTAGCTCCTGAATAAACATAGTAGTTTTCCTGGGTCTCCTTAACACACTTTTTCTAACACAATCCAGCTGGAAATGGTTCTTCCAAGTCAGAATTAACAGCAGGTTTTTGTATTCAACTCCTGGTCATCTGACATCACAGGGAATAATTATCAAAAGCTCCTATCTTGGTGTGACATCTTCACACAAGTTAATGACAGAGCAGCTTCAGCACCTACCATCAGGTGCTGAAAAAACTATTTCCCTTCTAATTCCTTTATTTTTTATTTTTTTTTAAAGTACTGTGAACAATAAAATAATTAGAACAGTATGGAAAGTACCTGAACGCACTGAGATGAAGAGAAGCACAGCTTTACTTTAGTTTCTAGCGCCCATTAAGAAATCATTAAAACTGGAAGAAGAAAAAAAAAAAAAAAAAAAAAAAGCCCAGTTGATGAGAAGATTATAGATTTCCCGGAGGGAGTTAGAGAACAAAAGGGGGAAAATGCCTGGCGCTTGGTTAGTGCTATCTGCTAGACCTACTGCCACCTAGCTCACAGTAGAAACACAAGCAGACATGGCTATTACAGAGAGAGTAAAGAAGAATTTGCTTGCACCGAGGTCCCCTGAGGAGTAGAAAATGATACCAGATGGCCTTGACTACGTGCAGTACTGGTTTACTGTGACAGATGGGAAGATAGGTAAGAATGGGGATATGATAAAATATGGTACTTCATTAACTCATTAAAATACACTGCTTCAAGAAAATAATCTTCCATGTGGAACAATTTGAAATGGTTCAGTCGTTTATGATTTTATATTCTCCCTGTGACATAACCAGAAGTTTTCTCAGTCACTGCAGCTTCATCTGTTACTGAAAATAACAGTTCAACACAAGAAATAGAAGAGGCAGCAAAAAGAAAATATTTGCTACTTCTAAACAGAGACAGAAAAAAAAACACCAAAACAGTCTCATAACACTTGAGTGCCAAAATGAAAACTGTGTTATCAGACTTCTTTATGATAATTTTAGTTTGTCAGTGTTTTAATAAAACATCCCTCACCTTCTGCTATACCCTGGCCAATAGACCATGACTCATTGAGTGGCTGTCCCAAACTGTGAACATCACGAGGGATGGGCAAAAAGCAAAGATGACACTTTCTAACCAGTGGCACCTGCTATGCTTAGCATGCTGAAGGTTATACCAGCAGTGACAAGACTGGCTGACAAATCCTCATCAACACACACTGACCCCTAAAAGGTATCATCCACAGCCCCTAAGACATCAGAACTGTTACACACAAAACGAGGCCAAAGGGAAGCAGTGTCAAGACGCTGATGTAATGAGTGGAGTTGGATGTGTGCACAAATGACAGACGATAAAAATGTGGCTCTGCATAAAGAAAACAATGTAAAAGTAACAGCAGTCATTTTTTGCTTCTTGTCACTTGGATTCCAGATGTAGCATTTTCGAGGTAAAGGCTGCTGGACTGAGAGAAATTCAAGGCTCTCCTAGGACACTGCAAATGTGAACAGGTTCCCCACAGCCTGGTGCGAGTCAGCATCACCAGCAGGAATCAGCACTCAGGTAAATTCATCAGGCTCATTACAATTTGCTCTTTGGATTGGTTTTCAAGAGAACTCCTTCCTCCATTACGAATGGCTAGTGGGAGAAAAAGACTCGACTTGTAGATTCAGATAGCCTACACTTCTAGAAATGCTGTTCTACAACATGTAAGCATCTGTTACCGCATCATTATTTCCTGACTTGTTACAGACCTTGAAGCTCTCCAGCTTCTGGAAACAGTTCAGTTATGTGGAAGAATTAAGAAAGGTAAAATAGCGAGATCATAAGGAAAGAAGGTAATGAAGGGGAAATAAGGAAAAACACTGGGAACTCCGGTCTAAATGTCCCTGTTACCAC